TGAGTAAATCATCCAAGAAAGTGGACTATATGAAGAACATGGCATCAGGATTGGAGGAAAGCTATTAACCACCTGCAATATGCAGATAACACAACCAAGTGAAGATTATTTGACGTACTTACTGATGAAGGTCAAAGACCACAGCCTTCAGTGTGGATTACACCTTGTTCTGGTTACCTAGTGCCACTCAGACAAGCATATACCACAAATGGGATGGCTTGAACAAACAGGAGTTTATTCTTACAATCTGGAGGCTTTAAAAAGGAGTTTATTCTTAAAATCTGGAGGCTTCAAGTCCAAGTTCAAAGTATCAGGGTCTAGGGGCTCAGTGAAAGAGGCTCAACCTTGGTGTTCAGTTCGCCTCCCGCTCCCAGCCCACTGGAGCTAGAGGCTTTTCTTCACTCAGACAGCTGCTTGCTGCTCAGACTGACAAACCCAAGATTGACAAGTAAAAAGGCATAGTCCCGATGTTACCAAACCACACAGCAGGCCATTCATTCAAGACCATTGAAAGTCCAAAGGTCAGCAGAGCATGGCAGGCTGCTGAACAAAAACGTGGCTACATGCAGGGTTCAAGTGTGCCATAAGCTAGAGACCATTCACAAAGCTGTTTATTATGTATGGGAAGCGGACCACATACCCAATGGGGGCTACTCAGCTGCTCACAGTAGATTCCACCATGAAGTTGATTACCAGTCTCATCACGGTGAATACTACATTCAGCTGCCCAGCCACTCAACCAGGCCCAGCCAAGTTGACACACAAACTTAACCACAATTCTACCCTTGTCAACTTGGCACTTGTACAGATCTTCAATGGGTGTTATCTGTAGCGATCTCTTCACTGGGTGACTCCAGTCCCCTAGTTCCTGAGTGGCAACCTCACCCCCTTGGCCTGCTGGGCCCCGTTCCTCTCCTCTTGGGCATGGCAGCCCTGCCCCCCTCATTCGTGGGCAGCGGCTATGACTCCATCCCACTAGCTCACATGAATGAGCAGCCCCACACTCCAGAACCAAGTTGGTGAAGGTCTGGCTCTTTGAAACCTAGGGGATTGTGGTGGTTCCACCCCCAAAGGCCATGGCTCTACACTTGAGGCTGAGGCAGCTCTACTTCCCGTTTCCTTGGTCTCTCTGCTTCTGCCAATTAATGCCAAAGGCAACCCACTCTGCCAGAAAGCCGCCTACCCAATGGCACCCGGCTTTCTCCTCCATGGGCTGGTAAGCCTGTTATTGTTTAATGCCGGTCTCTGGGCTCTCCTACTGCTGTCTCTCATACCGGTCTCTTGGTTCTGCTGCTGCCATCTCTCATACCGCATACTGGGGGCTCTCTGCCAGGGTCTCGTGTCAAGGATGCACTACACTCCTGTTTCCACATTTTAGTTATCTGTCAGAGCAGCACCCCACTCTCAGTACCATATTCTGTTCTGATTACCTAGTGCCACTCTGACAGGAATATACCACAAATGGAATGGCTAGAAATAACAGGAGTTTATTCTTACAATTTGGAGGCTTTAAGTCCAAGTTCAAAGTGCCAGGCTCTAGGGGCTGGGTGAAAGCCCCTCAATCTTGGGGTTCAGCTCTGCCTCCTGCTCCTGGACCAATGGAGCTCTAGAGGTTTTTCATTACTCAGACAGCTTCTGGCTGTTGAGACTGACAAACCCAAGGTTGACAAGTAAAAAGGCACAGTCCTGATGTTACCAAACCACACAGTGGGCCATTAATTTAAGTCCACTGAAAGTCCCAAGGTCTGCAGAGCATGGCAGGCTGCGGAACGACACGGCTACATACAGGGTTCAAGTGTGCCATGAGCTAGAGACCATTCACAAAGCTGTTTCTTATATATGGGAAGCAGACTATGTACCCAATGGCAGCTACTCACCTGCTCCCAGTAGATTGCACCATGGAGGTGATTACCAGTCTCATCATGGGGATTCATACATTCAGCTGCCCAGCCACTCAACCAGGCCCAGCCAAGTTGGCACACAAACTTAACTACCACAGACTTCAACGTAAAGAAAACAAAAGTGCTCACAACTTAGCCAATAAGAGAGCTCACAACAATCAATGGAGAGAAGACTGAAGTTGTCAGTAATTCTGCTTTACTTGAATCCGTAATTAACACCCACGGAAGCAGCAATCAAGAAATCAGACATTTTATCTCACTGGGCCAATCTGTCGTGAAACAAAATGTGTATGAATTGCTGAGGGTAAACAAATCTGCTTTGTAAATATGCACCGAAATCACAGTAAAATTTTTTTAAAAAATCTGAAATCTGCTGCCAAAGACCTCTTTAAAGTGTTAAGAAGCAAAGATGTCACTTCGAAGACTAAGTTGCACCTAACCCAACCAAGGTATTTTCAATAACCTCATATGCATATGAAAGGTGGATAATGAATAAAGAAACCCCAAGAAGAGTTAATGCCTTTGAATTGTTGTGCTGGCAAAGAATACTGAAACTACCTTTGACTGCCGGAAGAAGGAACAAACCTGTCTCTGACAAAGTGCAGCTGGAATGCTCCTCAGAAGTGAGAATGGTGAGGGTTGATCTCGTGTACTTTGGTCATGGTGTCAGAAGGGACTGGTCCCTGGAGAAGGGTATCATGCTTGGCGAAGTAGATAGTCAGTGAAACAGGGGAAGACCCTCAATGAGATGGACTGACACAGTGGCTGCAACAACGGGTTCAAGCATAGCAAATATCGATGGCACTGGACAAGGCAGTGTTTCATTCTACTGTACACAGAGTCGCTGAGTCAGAGCTGACTCAACAGCACCTAGCAACAAGTTGGCACTGTGTCAGCCCTCTTATAAGCTTGACACAACAATCATTAAGGATGTTAGAAACATGCCACAGATGGTGAAAAGATACAAAAAGGTCATCACTGAGTAGCTAAACCAACACCTGTAATAACCTATCTTTGGGATACAAGTTATGTGAAAAAAAATGAACTTCTAAAGTTCCCTGTTTTGTTACACAGCAAAACACATCCTTTAGTAATATATTTTCCCAATGAGGGCTGCTCAGAATTGTTTTGTGCACCCCTCTCACCTATATTTATTGAAAAGATATATGAACTGCTATACTATTATGTCCACTATAAAACTTCTAACACAGAAATTGTTAAAGGGTGAGAAAAAATATGGATAGAGATGCTAATGTTTCTTCCTGCATACCAACAGATCATGTTCACATAGCCTGGGAGGGGTGGTAACCCCATTTTAAAGCTCTGTGATTCTAAGGTCACTTATTTTAGAATGAATTGGGATTGTTTAATTGTGAGCAATGAAAAAAGGGATTTAATGGAAGAATAGGAGGTAGCTCACCAAGTCACGGAAGAGCTGAACCACCATACCTCTGGAAGAACAGCAATGGGGACAGCTTCATTAGATGTCTTAGCTCCCCCATAACCATCTGTACTTCTGTTCCAACTCCAGATTCAGATTCTTAAGAACTATACCATTGCCTAGCTTGGGTCATAGAAGCACCCAGAGTAGGGAAGGCTGCTGTTCTCCAAAAGAGAAGCTCAGCAGACAAAAACATATGGCCATATACAAATCCTCTTAAATTTTACACAAAATCATCAATACTTTGAGAAACAGGACTTTGGGCTAAATTCAGAAGCACCAATCCAATTAAGTACACCTCAAAGTGCTAAACCAGAACCAAACCAAATCCACTGCCACTGAGTCGATTCCGACTCATAGCAACTCTCACTGGGTTTCCAAGGCAGTAAATCTTTATGGAAGTAGATTGCCCAGTCTTCCTTCTGCAGAATGGCTGGTGGATCTAAACTGCCAACCTTCTGGTTAGCAGTCAAATGGCAATGAACTGTCAGAGCTCCTAAAGTGCTAAATAATTTTAGAATGCCAATAAAAATAAGCTTCTTAAACCTATAAAATAATCATTTCTAAAGCTTAACAGTTCAGGGTTTTCTATGTTTTTTTAAAAAACAACTAGTGACTGAACACTTCAATTACAGTTAATAGATTAGAAGAATGTAATCTATAGACTGGCTGTTCATAATCCAAAAACGATTTAACTACTTTTAAGAGATAAAAGGAGAAAGAAGGGAAGAAACAGGGGGGACCTACTACCAAGAAAAAGGAGCCAGGAGCAGAATGCATCCTTTGGACCCAGGGTCCCTGTGCTGGGATCCACCTAGGAACAAGAAACTCAGAGAAAGTCTCCTAGAGTCAGCACTCTTAACTCGAATTCTGAGCTCTGGTAACATAGTGCCTAAGGCACTTGACTGCTAACCAGAAGGCTGGCGGTTCAAACCCACCAGCCACTCCTCAGAAGGAAGGTTGGGCAATCCTACTTCCGTAGTGATACTGCCTCGGGAACCCAAGGAGGGGTCGCTATGAGTTGGGTCCGACTCGATGGCAAATAACAACAACAACAGCAACAAGCTCTAAGAGAATAAATTTGTTTGTTAAAGCCATCTACTTGCAGTATTTCTGCTACAGCAGCACTAGAGAACTAAGACAGTCAGAACTGACTTAATGGCAATGAGTTTGGTTTTAGGCTTACACTGTCTAAAGCTTCCACTATTCATTTTATTCTTTACTTCTTATAATGGTATTAGTTCATATGCAAAAACTACTTAAGTCAGTTTCCAATTTTATTTCATTAACTTAAAAGATGGACAAATTATATAATTCAAATGTTATTAAATTTATCTCCAACAGAACTTTACATACAGGATAAACAGACACAGGATTTCAAGTAACTTATGATACAGTCCATTGTCCATTTTAAAAATATGCAGCTTTCACCCACAAAAAGCAATGAAAGGCAATTATTTTCTTTTATACTGCATAAAAGCTAGATAGAACTTTGATGTAAATTTATTTCATTGTTAATTCAGATGTTGAAGCTGGGAGGCACAAAAGTTCACAGTTAAAGATGCAAACAAGAAGCTGCTTCTGTTTCTCAGATACAAAATGGAGACCTCCATTCATGTCTTTTACAGGGGTATCACATACTTGATTCTCATACCAGGTCACTTCTTCTTCTTGCCTTTTCCTTTTTTACTTCCCTCTCCTTGCTGAAGACTTTGGTCACCACCTCCTGTTTTTTGTGTCCTTGTTTTTAGTTTAGGTATCATTTCCGCTGCATACAACATTACTGACTTACCTAGGAACCAGAAGTTAGGCATAGTGTATAATACGAGAAATAAGACATAAAAAGTCATTAACTTGAATATCATAAAGTCGGGAACACCATTACCATATTAAGAAAAGAGGAAGGAATTAAACCAAAAAAATCCAATGACTATGGAGATAATGACTCAGTTAAGTGAGGGCCCCTGCTGGAGAAAATGAAGTACTGAGATTGAGAACAATGCTTATAGTATCTAAATGAACAAAATCAAAATTTCAAACACCAAGTCTGAAAGAAAAATTTTTATCTTGGTCCTACTAACTGGCTTAAAGATCAAAGGAAAATATGTGTAAAAATAACTTGGAAACATAGAGTCAGAGTATCAATATATCTTCAAGCTACAAAACCACATGGTTTATGTATTAATAAAAACTAAGGGTCATTAAGCTATTAACAGATACTACCCATATGCTTGGGGAGCTCTGGTACCATAGTGCTTAAGGCCCTTGACTGCTAACCAGAAGGCTGGTGGTTCAAATCCACCGGCCACTCCTCGGAAGGAAGGTTGGGCAATCTACTTCCGTAGTGATACCGCCTCAGAAACACAAGGAGGGGTTGCCATGAGTCAGGTCTGACTCGATGGTACATAACAAAAACAACAACAACAACCCATATGCTTGGATGATCTATGCATATTTGCACCCCTGCTCTTTGTACCTGCCACATGAAAACTCCATCTCCAATAGTTGCCTTCCTTATCCCAACTCACCAGGCTCCTCTGCATTTTCCTTTTTACTATCTTATGTTTTCTTACTGGAAACTCAATATACCATTTGTTCAACCTCAATTTTATTACTAGTCAAATCAAGTTCCCTTGCCCTATCTTTTGAAAGAAAGTGTATGTGTCACAAGTAAGGAGAGACTGCATCAGTAGCCAAAACCCTCCCAACAAGGCAGGCCCAGGACCAGATGGCTTCTCTGGTGAATTCTACCAAACATCTTTATATGTTTATTCTTTTTCTGGCTGCTGTTCAGTTGATTCTAATTCATGGTGACCCCGTGTGATTCAGTGTATAACTTCATTCCATAGAGCTTTTATGCTGTGAAAAAGTAGACTACCAGGCCTCTCTTCCGAGGTCCCTCTGGGTAGTTTTGAACCACAAACCTTTTGGTTAGTAGCAGAGAACTTAACTGTTTGCACCACCCTGGGACTCCATTATACCAAATATTTGAAGTATTAACACCAATCCTTTTCAAGCTCATCCAGAAAATAGAAAACTCATGCAACCAGCATTACCCTGATACCAAAACCAGATAAAGATAAAAGAAAATTACAGACCAATATCCCTTATGAATACAGATGGAAAAAATTTCAGAACTATTCTAACAGCATGACCAAGTGAGATTTTTCCTAGGAATGCAAGACTAATTCAAAAGAAGAAAATGAATCAATGTAACGCAACCCAATAGAATGAGGGGGAAAAGACCCACGTGACCACTTCAATTCACACAGAAAAAGCAGCTGACAAAATCCATACCCATTCATGATAAAAAATACCCAGCAAACTACAAATAGATGGGAATTTTCTCCACATGATCAAGGGCATTTATGAAAAACCCACAGCTAACATCAGATTCCATGGTAAGAGACCAAAAGCTTTCTCCCAAAGACAAGAAACAAGGTAGACACTTTTTTTTAAAAAAACTTGTACACCAACGTTCATTGCAAAATCAGTCACAATAGCCAAAAGGTAGAAATAAGCCAAGCATGTGTGAACGAACAAAAAAAATGTGCTATATAGACAATGGAGTATTATTCAGGCATTAAAAAAAAAAATTAAATTCTAATACATGCTACAACGTGAACATTTAAAATGTTATGCTAAGCAAAATAAGACAGTGATAAAAAGACAAATACTGAGTAAGTCCATGTATATGCAGTATTCAGAACAGGCAATTTCATAGAGACAGAAAGGTTAGTGGTTAGCAGGAGCTGGGGAGAGGGGAGAAGAGTTATTGCTTAAAAGTATAGTTTCTCTTTGGGGTGATGAAAAAGTTTTGGAAACAGATGGCAGGGAAAGAAAGACCTCAATATTATCTCCCTTTAGAAAAACATACTTTAGAGAAAATAAAATTTTGGGAACATCACTTTTGCTACTTCTATTCAACGTAGTACTGAAGGTTTAGCCAGAACAATTAGGCAAGAAAAATAGTAAAAAGCACATGAATAGGAAATGAAGGGCTCAAGACCACAGTTGCAGGGGACATCAAGCTCAACTGGCATAACATACTACACAAAAACATTGTTCCACATCCTACTTTGGTGAGTAGCAACTGGGATCTTAAAAGCTTGCAAGCAGCCATCTATGCCACTATGGGTTTCTTCTTGTCCAGAGCAAAGAATGAAGAAAACCAAAGATGCATGGAAAACAACTAGTCCAAGGGACTGGTACACCACGTGATCCTCAGCTTATATGACTATGAGACAAGAAGAACTAGATGGTGCCCGGCTACCACTGTCAACCACCCAGAGAGGAATCTATGTAGGAGATCCTGGATAGAATGGGAGAACAATGTGGAACAAAATTCAAAATCATTTAAAAAAGAAAAAAGGGACCAGGTTTGCTGGTCTGATAGAGCCTGATGCAACCACTGAGACTATAGCCCCTAGCTGGCCTTAAAGTCTGGAATTGAACTCACTCCCGTGGCTTCCAGCCAAACAAAAGACACTTCTTGGAGAGATCAATCATGGGAGAATAGAAGGGTTATGTATGGACAGGGAGACAGATTGGGGGGCAGGAGTCCATGGAAGGGAAGGACAGAGAGAAGAGGTTAACTATGGGGAGGAAGTGGGAGAGGAGCTGTTGCATTGTGGGAAATTGCAGTCAATGTCATGAGACAAAGTGTATGTGAGCTGCTGTACGGAAAGTGAATTTGCTCTGTAAACTTTCACCCAAATCACAGTAAAAATTAAAAAAAAAGAAAGAAAGAAAGGAAATACTTCTGCTCAGAAATTACATAATCTTGCATGTGTAGAACCCCAAAGGATCCACTAACAAATACCATTAAAGCTAATAAATGAATTCAACAAATTTGCAGGTACAAGATCAACAAACATACACCAACTGCATTTCTATACACTAGCAATGAATAACCCAACAAAGAAATGAAAACCATTCCATTTAAAATAGTATTAAAAAGAACAATATACTTAGGAATAAATTTAACCAAGTTAGAAAAAATATACAATAAAAACTATAAAACCTCACTAAAAGAAATAAAAGACCTAAATAAATAGATTGCTTTGGGTAGAACTGACATTTTCACAATGTTCAGTCTTCCTATCCATGATAGATAAAAAGCTACTTCAAGAAACCATAAAAGACCTAAATAAATAGAAAGACATTATATGTTCATGGATTGGCGAACTTAAATGTTAAGATGATAAAAATACCCAAAGTAATGTATAGATTCAATGCAATCACTATCAAAATCTCATCCTTTAAAAAAAAAAAACTCTAAAATTTCTATGGAACTTGAACAGACTCCAATTACTCAAAACAATCCTGAAAAGAACAATAAAGGTGAAGCACTCATACTTCCCAATTTCAAAACTTACTACAATGCTACACTAATCAGAACAGTGCTTTACTAGCATAAGAGCAGACAAGTAAAGGGTTGTTATGAATTGGAATCGACTCAATGGCAGTGGGTTTGGTTTTTCAGGCACTCTGAGCCGGAATCTAAGTTTCTAGTAATACCTGTCAATTGTGACAGGTTTTGGTATATAAAAAGCAAGCTACTTTAATTCTACTAAAAGCACTTAAATTGTCAGTATAAGGTTACTGTGTCAAGAAAAAAAAATTACAAATCACACAGATCAATTTTTTAAATTAGTATCTTTAGAAATAAAAAATTCAAAAATTAAAGAATAACATGCAAAGAAACACTTATATTCCCAATTTCCAAAATCAACATTAGTTTGATTTTGCCAATTTCTAAAATCAGCAGTGGTTTTTAAGGTTAAAAAAAAGAAAAAACACTATAGAGAAAAAGCTATGGTCTTCTCTCACCATCACCTTATAGTCTTCAGTCACCACCCCCTACCCACTATCAGGTAACTACAGATAGTCCTTGAGTTATGATGTATTCCAGTTACAACAAACTGCACTTGCGACTGTTGTTTTGTTTTTGTACATCTTATTATTAGTAGTAAGGAGCTCGGGTTGTGCAGTGGTTAATGCATTTGGCTGCTAACCAAAAGGCTGGCAATTTGAACCCACCAGCCTCTCCATGGGAGAAAGATGAGGTAGTCCCCATCTGTAAAAATTTACAGTTTCTGAAACCCTATGGGGGCAGTTTTACTGTTCTATAGGGTTACTATGAGTTGGAACTAATTCAGTGGCAGTGTGTTTGTTTTTGGTTATTGTAAGTAATTATTTTATGTACTATACACAATGTTGCTGCATATAATTTGCTGATGTTATCATTCTCAGATGTTCACTAGCAGATATTCAAAGATCAGATTTATAAAGATACTGATAACAAAAAGCAGTAACAATGAAAACTAAAAAAAAAAAAAAAAGAGAGAATCGCGTCATAAGTCGGGGACTACCTGTACTTTTTAAAAATTGGATATATCCCTCCAGTCCATTTAAAAAATATGTACATACATATATCAACAAATAACAGTAATATTTTATATTTAAACTTACTTAGATGGTATTACACTATGCATTTCTCTTGCTTTTTTCAATGTTGCTTTTTAGATTAAGAACAAAAATTATTATTGTCAGATCTCAAGTGTCTCTAGTATCTGAAAGATAATTAACATCTAACCATCTAATGACTTATTTTATATTCATAAGCTGGGAGCAGTAACGGATTTCCAGAGGTTCACAAAATGATATGTAAAAGTAACATATGGTATTATAATTGAGAACAGTGGTTGTCCTTGTTATGTGTGAGTGTGTTAGGAGATAAATTAACAGGTTTCATCACATTCACAAAGAGGTCCTTAACTTAAAAAAAGTCAGAACTATTCTTTACCTCTCTCCACCCAGTAGTAGCAAAATATACAGAAAACATAGAGAATGCAAATTTTGATTTTTATCTTTCAAAAAGTCCATTTTGGAAATTGTTTTTGTATTATAGAGGAATAACCTATCCCAGAACTTGATTCCTATATTTAAAAGAACTTACGTGATGGAAACTGTACAAGACAGAGGCTTCCATCTTCCTGTTTGAGCTGGACCCGGACTCTGCCCCTGTACTGAACATCACGATTCCATTCTCTAGAGTACATTTTGTTTTTCTAATATAAAAAACAAAAACAGACTTTGTTCAAGAAAGCAATGAGGTTACCATGGAAAACAATGAAGAAAGAATCACATCATACCTCAAGGAATGCATTAAGTCCAACTGCTAAGCATACATCTTGAATCTCTGTAGCTGTAGGATTTTCAACAGCCTGAAACAGTTAAAAACAAAAACACTAAACAGTTTTTAGCCTGAGGTGGATTACTGCTACACTGTAAATCCTTTCAAATCCTAGAATCAAAATCAAAACTAAGCCAAACCTTTCCCATTGAGTCCATTCCGACTCATACTGACCCCCACTGGGTTTCTGAGGCTGTAAATCTTTACAGAAGTAGACTGCCTCATCTCCCTTCTGCCGAATGGTTGGTAGGTTTGAATTGCTGACCTTCTGATTAGCAGCCAGATGCCTTACCCACTATGCCACCAGAGCTCCTTAGAAGCATAAAGTTCAATGAAAAAAAAAAGCCAGACACTAAAGAACATAGTGCAGCATTCTATTTATAAAGAGCTTAAAAATATGTAAAAGTAATATATGGTATTAGAAGTGAGAACACTGGTTATCCTTGTTATGTGTAAGTATGTAAGGGGATAGTGACTGGAAGGGGACATAGAGCAATTTTCTGGGGTGCTGATAATGCTTCTTAAAAAAATCTAGATACTGGTTACCTAGGTGTGCTCATTTTGTGAAAATTAATCAAGCTGTACATGATTCATGTGTATTTCTGTATGTAGGCAATACAAGTTTACTGAAAATGACAAATGCTAGCAAGGATGTGGGGAGATTGGCACTCTCATACATTGCTGGTGGGACTGCCTAAGGCACCTGACTGCTAACCAGAAGGTTGGCGGTTCAAACCCACCAGCCACTCCTCGGAAGGAAGATTGGGCAATCTACTTCCGTAGTGATACTGACCCGGAAACCCAAGGGGGTTGCTATGAGTTGGGTCCGACTCAACGGCACATAACAACAACAACAACAACAACAACAGAGGCTCTAAGAGCCACAGTCCTAAAGGACTGAAGTGCCAGTCACCCCCTCACCTTATTTATGGGGATGCGCCTCCCCTCCGCGATGGTCTTCTTGTTATTTAAATAAGCAGGGTAGATACAAATGAACCTGACAGAAAAAAGTACAGAAAGCACATCTGTTATCACCAGAACAGTGTTGCTCCAAATTCAGTCATCATCACGATCTCTGGTACTTACACTATTACTTACTTTTTTATTTCAAATTAAATTGCCTTCCTATTACTTAAATTACTGAAAAAGTAAACTATTTACGTAGAGAAACCAACATCACTTGCTAGAAAAGGTGTTTTTTTAAAAAAAAAAAAAAAAAGCTCATACACAAATGATAACACTGAAGTGCTCTAACTGTTCAGTTAGATAAAGCTGCCTGTTCCTCAGGCTGGAACCTACTCTCCTATACATATAAAAAGAATAGTGCTATAAACATTAAAATCTTTACAGAACCCAAAGTTCGTGGGACGACAACGAGCTCCGCGGGAGAGCCGCGGGGCCTACGCCAGGGCGAAGCTCCAGGGAGGCCGTTCCCAAAGGGGGAGGCACAGTACTGCAGTTTCGTAGCACGCCCCTTTCTTCCTCCGAACCCTCCCCAGGACCCACCTGTCCTGGTCTGCAGGGGACCGCGTAGCGGCGCAAGCCATTTCCAAACCGGACGGCACAGCGTCAGCTCGGAACTCATACAGAGATTACCGGCCGGAACTCCGCGCTGAGAAACAGCCGAGACCGCCCAGTCTTCCGGCGGAAGTCCTACTCTACGACACGCTTGCGCGTCCACGGCTTTTCACAGCCGGCTTGTTCTGGCACCTATAGCTGGTGGACGCGTGTAGAGAAGATCTCAGCGATCTTCAGGACCTGAAAGCTTCTGATTCCTTCACTTCTCAGACCCGCCTACAGGGGGTTTTAGGCGAACGCACTGTCGCTAAAACAAATGATTTTTCTTGTTGTCGCTCCCGCATTTTCACAGAGATTGGATGGCGTTATGAGGACTCGCCCTAAAGCAAGAAGTCTGCGCTGCAGTTCCGAGTCGGAATACAGGTTTTAGTCGGAATACAGGTGTTACAGCAGGAAGGGAAATGCCCTTTTTGTGTAACCTTTTTCCTGGCCTCTGCAGCTAGCTTTCAACTTGGCAAAAATGGGATTTATAGTGGGGGAACTAGGAAAGTCACCGTTACTGTGTTTCAGTGTGCCACGTAAATGTTAGAAACTTGACCCGGAAGGAAATTTTAACCTCAGGGAGATACCCACCCTATAATTCACTAGAGTTTTTGTATACATGCAGTCTCTAGGTTACAAACAAGATCAGGTTCTAAGTGAGTCTTTAAGTGGAATTTTTAGGTAAGTTAGAACAGATGTATACAGTTCTTGTTTAGCTTAAGTGCAAGAAAATACTAGAAGCGCCTCGGAAGTGAAGAAGAATGCACAAAAAAAAAAATGGCCCTCAAGACCAGAAGAACCCAATGCTCCCAATTCCAACCACTCAGGAAAGGATCAACTCTGGAGATCTGGATAGAGTGGGAGGGAAAACGTGGAACAAAATCCAAAAACTCAATAATGACCAGAATTACTGGTCAGATGAAGTCTGGTAAGAATTCCAATACTATGGCCCTGAAATGCATTCGGTACCTGGAATAAAACTCACCCCCAGGGGCGGGTTCTCAGCCCAATAGTTAACAAGATGTACATGCAGACCACTCAACCCAGGATGCTGCACCCACACACTCAATGGTAATACATCCCTTAAAGCACTAGACATAGGACACCAAAGGATCAACATTCAAATTGAGGAAATGCAGGACAAACAGGAGTGTATAATTATGAGGGGCACAGAGGGAGTTGCAGGGTAGGGAGGGGAGGAGAATTGTGATTTGGGTGAATTTAGAGAGCAAATTCACTTCCCATACAGCACTCATATAAACTTTGTCTCATGACATTGACTACAATTTCCCACAACGCAACAGCTTCCCTCCAACTTCACCCCCATAGTTACCTCTTCCCTGTGTCCTTCCTTTCATGAACTCCTGCCCCCTGAGCTGTCACCCTGTGCATACACAGCCCTTCTGTTTTCCCATGATTGTTCTCTCCAAGGAGTGTATTTACCTAATGTAAATGTTCAGCTCATATGCCTGACTTTTGTTTGGCTGGAAGCCACAGGAGTGGGTTCAGTTCCAGACCTGAAGGGCAGCCAGGGGTCATAGTCTCAGTGGTTCTATCAGGCTCTATCAGACCAACAAACCTGGTCCCCCCCCCCCTTTTTTTTTAAATAATTTTGAGTTTTGCTCCACATTGTTCTCCCAGTCTATTCAGAATCTCCTACATAAATCCCCCTCCGAGTGGCTGACTGTTGTAGCTGGGCACCATCTAGTTCTGGTCTCAAAGGTGTATAGGGTGAGGATCACATGGTGTACCAGTCGCTTGGACTAATTTTTGCCATGGATCTTTGGTTTTCTTAATTCTTATTTGCTCTGGATGAAGAGAGACCCATTATTACATCTAGATGGCTGCTTCCAAGTTTTTAAGATCCCAGTCACTGTTAGAGATATGCCACTTGCGTTGCTCTTGCGGGTTCTTCTTCATTCCCTGCTGCCCCACCCAAGGTCATAAGTCAGTTAAAGGAAGTAGAAACTGAGCCTCCTGTAAGGCGCGAATTTTAAAAGGCAACGTAGCCTCTGATAGGTTAAGACCTCCTCACCCAGCTCTGATGTACAACCTCCTAACCCCAGGTCTATATAAGACCACCCTCTCCTCTGCTCTTCCTCTTCCTCCTCTTTCTTCTTCTCTTCTTCCCTTCTTCCTCTTTCTTTCTTCTTCTCTTCTTCCTCTTCTCCTCTTTTACCTCTTCTTTCTTCTCTTCTTCTTCTGTCCTTCCTCAGTGCAGGCGCCCTTTTGCCTCTTTAAATAAAATCTCCTGATGGGTACCCTGCTGTGTGGCGTGGTCGTTGAGTGCCGACGGAGCTCTTAACAGTCACCACTCGCCAAAGTAGGAGGTGGAACAGTGTTTCTGTGTAGTATGTTACGCCAATTGAGCTTGATGTCGCCTACGACTATGGTTCCAAGGCCACAGGTCCACCTATTCACTCCCTCTGGATAGCTGGCTGTGTCCAAGAAGCGATTACAGCCTTGCCCCTTGTCAACTCTACTATATACCTGGGAATTTTTACAGAACATACCAATACACTTGTCGAGGCATTGTCTGCCAATACTATACATGGTTGGGCACACTGCCTCCTGCATAGACATACCTAATACTTCAGCCTGTCCACCCATCTGTCCACCTGTATATCCATGTTTGCCTTCACTGACAACACAGTACTGCATGTGCAAAAGGGTTCATCTTTGTTGTCTGTACCTCCCGTGTACCTCTCTTCCTCAATGCCACCATGTGGATCACTCACAATTGATACATTGCCCTTCTCTTTACCTAAATCAATGTTGTTGTTGTTGTTGTTGTTAAGTGCCTTCGAGTCATTTCCGACTCATCGCGACCCCATGCACAGCAGAACGAAACACTGCCCGATCCTGCGCCAGCCCCACAATCCCTGCTATACTTGAGCCCATCATCGCAGCCACCGTATCAATCCATCTCATTGAAGGCCTCCCCCTCTTTCGTCGACCCTCC